TTGTCAAATTGAACCAATTAATATAATCCTTACTTACGAGCAAGAAGATTATTGTAATCGTTATAATTAAAACAACACAATTTGATCAATAGGACTTTGGATTTAGAGACCACTCAAATCAATTAAGCTGCTATGGCTTGCTTAATCGATATCAAACAAGCGATACCTAAAAGCTTGATTAAGCTGCTACGGCTTGCTTAATCAATAGGACTTTGGTTTTGCACACTGCCGGTTGCAAAAACTTTGATTAAGATGGCTTTGCAATTGGTATGGAGATTTTCCAGCTCATAAAAATATAATATCCTAAAATTACACGGTTAATCATTGATCGTTGGCGATTATATAGTTCTGTCACACTTTTTTCACTTATGGAGTGCCACTTGCTTTTTGTATGATAACATGTGGAGAACACACTTGGGACTGAAACTTGTATTTTTTGTATGATCAAGGATGCTTTATTTCTGTCAGCATTTGCTTTTATACCATGTTGTTGCTGTTTCCATTGAGCTAGCGAATGTTGTTGTGGTTAGTACCATTGAGACTTAGCTTGCAAGTAACCTAGAAATAGTTCTCGATTTGTGCATTGTAAATCCTTTTTTTTTTTTTTTTTTTTTTTTTTGAAGTATAGTGATAGTGCTAGTAAGTTAGATGTTAGATTAGTCACCGACAGAGTTCAAACCCATACCATCATGTAAGGGCACAACACCTTTATACTACTATGATAAAGGGTCACTTGCGTGCATTTGTAAATCTTTTACCGTAAGAAATGATTTACAATAAGTCAATTGTTGGAAAAATGATCAACAATCAATGACATCTAGTAAATTCGAATATGCTAGATAATAATGCAATACAATATTTTGGTAGAGTATGAACAAAAACCAAACTAGTATTAAACAAATATAACGATAATCAAGGCTTGCGTACCGCAATGTCTTTCTACTACTGTGATAAAGGGTCACTTGCGTGCATTTGTAAATCTTTCACCATAAGAAATGATTTACAATGAGTCAATTGTTGGAAAAAGGATCAACAATCAATGACATCTGGTAAATTCGAATATGCTAGATAATAATGCAATACAATATTTTGGTAGAGTATGAACAAAAACGAAACTAGTATTAAACAGATATAACGATAATCAAGGCTTGCGTACCGCAATGTTCTTGGAAATCTAGCAATGTTTGGAACCTATTGTATAACAAGTATCCATGGAAATCTGACAATGTTTGGACACAGTAAAGTCCAATCACGAAGCCTCCTCTACTCCTCTGACTGTTACAGATCTCGTAAAGAGTAGAGTTGTTGCTATAGAGAAGTCCGGCGACATTCAAAAGAAGATACAACAATGTCATCAGGGTGCTTCATCGCGGGCATAGAGTAACTGCATTTGCGGGCATCGTGCCAGAGACATAGATGAAGTAACAGAGTCACTTTTTTTGCATTGTTGAAAGCTGCATTGGCTGACCCATTCACGGGAGGAAACTTGAACGGTAACTTTTACGTCAATGAAGATTTTAATTATTCAACTATAAAGAACTCAAGGTTATATCATAGTAGTACTATATATCACAGTAATTCATTTTCTTAACCAAAAGTAATGTCATTTTTGTCAATTTTTTTGGGAAGTTGCGAAAGTGACAGCCGAAGGCATTCAAACGATGTTCAAGACCACTGTCCAACTTTGTACGCAGTGGTTTGACACGTTGGAAGAGAATCAAATGACACTTTTGTGATGTACAACCTTGACGAAATTAGCAATCGAGACTTGAGGAAATCAATGCAGTAATCACTTGTCTTTTCCGTGCTGTTGATGATGTGCTTTATTTTGAACTGCTGCTAATTTGTAAAACTATTTGCATAGCACGAGCACGTGGTCTAGTACAGACCCTTGGACATCCATTATTCTGATTGAAGGGAAATTTCTCGAGAAAATCATCTTCACAACAGTTGACATTACTGATGAGATCTACGGGCGGACAACAGAAAAAGATTATCCAAGTAACTCACCATTCACCACAGACCCGACGATTAGGTATTATGCAATTGGTGGTAGACTAACAGGAGTACATCGGATTTACATGGCAAGGTGTTCCCAAACCTTTTTGAAAGATTTGACAGTTGGTAAGGTGAAAGCTCTGTCAAGTTTTATTATAATTTTGAACAGGTGGTGCAAATGATTTTATGTTTTGTATGTTATGATAGACTGTTTGTAAAGTGCATGTTATGACTGTCGAATTTGTTTTCGTATGTTGTGCAGATTAATGGATGACATAAGGAGGTTGATATTTTCTCGTAAATTTAAGAGAAAATATTGATCCCTTGTGTCATCCATTAATTTGCACGATGTACAAAAACAAATTCAACAGTCATAACATACACTTTATAAACAGTCTATTGTAACATACAAAATATAAAATCATTTGTCACCACTTGTTCTAAATTGCCAACAAAGAGACCTAGTATGGATATTTAATTAAAAAAAAAGTTAAAATTTTTGTAGTGCGATTCGGTTTCAGTTTGTTTCAAAAGGCCAAAACCGAAACTAAATCGTTTTATTTCACTACAGTTCGGTTTCAAACCGAAACCGTTTCAAAACCACAAAACTAAACCGTTCAGTACGGTTTGATTTGGTTCGTGTTTTAGTTTCGGTTTTTTGTTCCAAATGTCCACCCGTACTCAGTAGCCGGTTAGCCCATCACACAGATTCCAGAAAGGCAAATCTGACGCGCACACATTGCCAAGTGGCGCGTTTTGACAAATCTAATCCCCGCATCATTTTTTTTTTTGGAGGTTTAACAAAACAATCCTGGTACTGTTCACTTTTAATGAAAAACCACATTTATACATTTCCTTAATACTATTCAATATACCTTTAAAAAGGGATTTTTTTTAAAAAAAAAGATTTTTTTGAACTTTTCGTTAGTTTTTTTTTTTTTTTTTTTTTCAGATCAGAAACGATAGTGATTTCATTAAAAGCGGAAGCCGAAAGCAAACTTCAAAGCCCAATGAAATGAATGCAAGACAGTACATGACAAATTACAAAAGGTCTTCCAAGAGGAGATCCACAATGAAAGTTGGAAGACTATCTAACCATTCGCACGGACTACCTATACTCAAGCTCTAACGAGTGAGTCGATGGGCCAGGGTGTTGCCTTGGCGGCGGACATGGGTACACACATCTTCAATGATTGTAGGAAGCCAGTACTTCGTATCCTCCTATCCTCCACGATATGATCGATGACGGATCTATCGTACGAATGATCGGAGAAGGCGCCAACAATCTGAAGAGAATCACCTTCAATAACAACATTTTGAAAACCATTTACCGTTGCCCTAAGGGCACCATCCCTAACAGCCAAAGCCATTTGGCAGGACTAAATGAATACAAGACAGTACATGACAAATTGGTGGGGGAGAGAGTGTCGGCCAGCTCGAGACCAAACCGATGTGGGTGGCGGGTCAGATGATCTCGGAAGGGCGCCAATGGGTGAACATATCCAGGAGCACCGAGCATAATGACAATCCCTGAAAATATGAAGGGCGAATTCCGCCTTGGAGTTGCAGAGCACACGCGATAGTTCAATTGCAATCCGTTGCTTTGCAAGATTGAGTCTCGTAGGAAGGAAGATCTCTACAGAGTCGCCATGTGAACAGACGGACCTTCGGTGGAACTTGGCCTTCCAGATGACATTCCAGAGTTTCGAAAGGGGCCTTAAGGATGAGGAAGAAGCGACAGACGGGGTTGGAAGAAGCAAGTTTCTGGCAATGTGGTAAGCAAACATAACCGAGAAGGAGCCTTGAGTGTCACGGAGAGAGGGGCGTGAGGCTCCGAGATAATACTCTAAGCCTGTTTTGCTAAGAGTGCCAGAATGTAGGCGTATAGGTTGCGGAAACCCAAACCACCTTTCGACTTAGGAGAGCACAACTTGTCCCGAGAGAGCCAATGTATCCGTCTCTCACCCTCACTCCCATTCCACCAAAAATTGGCTACCAATCGATTTAGGTTGTCATAGAAACACTTAGGGAGCATGAAGCAACTCATAATATATAGAGAAAATTTCTGTGAAAATTAGCCAGTCCCCGCACCATTTGAGCAACAAACCAACGGCTTTAATCTTTGTGTTATGTTGACTTTTTCACATCAAGAAATAAATGGGATAAAATAAAACAAAATAAAATTGCAAGTGTATCGTCTTTTTAGAAAAGCGATGTTAAATAGTTAGGGGTCAAGGAGAGAAGAATTCTTACAATTGAACTTGCTTTATGAAACACAACTGTGATAAAGTGTTATCTGTCTGCAAAGTGTATTAATTTTTATGTTGGTGAACATTTTTATTTTTATTTTTTTTGTTACAATGCAAAGTGTAATATTATTGTATAAACAAAATATAAAGATAAAAAACTAATGGTATTTTTGTAATCTCTTATGCTATTCCTAAACATCAAACAAATTGACTGTTCATCATAAATAGTTTACTTGTTACTAAATTCGTCGATTGATTTGACAGTAACTGATGGCTAAATAATCTCCAACATATTGATTTTTTTACATATATCATCTTATATCCGTATAAAAATATGTTGATCATAAATAGAAGAAGAAAAAAAAATGGAAGAACAAGTGAGTTTCCTTTAGAAGAGACGACCATTATCTACGTAAGAAATGTCGCGAGAAATATTTTATTGTGATCAGAACACGAGTGGTACATCGTGTTTTTATAGAAATTGTGAGAAATTTTATTTTTTAAGTTATTAACCTTTTAACACACATATTCTACAATTTATAGTGACACGTGATGTACTACTTTATATACTAATCACACTGAAAAATCTCTCATTGCGCGCAAAGCGCTAGATGGTGATGGTGACGTGGGTTAATGAGAACGCGAGTTGATTAACGATCACGTAGGTCGGCAAGTGCCGCAGCCGCTTTCTTGTTTTTTTTCCGTCAATAATAATTCCGAGTCAGAAAAAAACAAACTATAAAAAAACACCTTCAAAAGCTCATTGTCTTCCACTTTTGTCATTCTCTCTCTCCCCTCTCTCAGATTGTGAAGCCCTGCAAATTCACCTACGAGAAACGAAACCCTAGATTCCCCATCACTTTCCTGAGAAAATCTTCAGGAAAAGATTGAATCTTTCTCTGTCCAAAAGTCTCAAATCTCTCATTTCCGCATCCAATTTTATCCGAATTCCACATTTCTCATTAAACCCTAGATCCCAAATCCAAGTAATTCAATTGGGTGATGGGTAGGTTTCTCATAGAAACCTCCAGGCCCTCGTCGTCTTCATCTTCCCCAGCCTCTTCGCCGCCTCCGACCACCACCGCGTCGACGTCGATCACCGAGACCGTCAACGGGACCCACCATTTCAGGATCAACGGCTATTCGCTGTCCAAGGGGATTGGGATTGGGAAGTACATAGCGTCCGATACGTTTAATGTGGGTGGGTTTTCGTGGGCCATCTATTTCTACCCGGACGGCAAGAGCGTTGAGGACAATGCCGCCTACGTTTCGCTGTTCATCGCGCTTGCGAGCGAAGGAACCGATGTGAGAGCGCTGTTCGAATTGACGCTTTTGGATCAGAGCGGGAACGAGAGGCACAAGGTGCATAGCCATTTCGGGAGGACATTGGATAGCGGTCCGTACACGCTCAAGTATCGCGGAAGCATGTGGTGGGTTTGCCCAATTTTCGAGTTCTTGGTTTCTTGTTTATTTGTGGGAATCTTGCTTTTCTGAGTTCTTTCTTTTGTGATGAAACTGTATTGCTTTATGCTAGTTGGTAACTTTGGTTTTCCATGTTTATTTTCTGAAAAAAAACAAAAAAGAATCGTGCTTCAATTGTTCTCGGTTGGCTCTGATAGTTACAGTCGATGTGAATATATCGAAAAACGGCTATTTTGATTAAGAAATGTGAAGCGATCAGTTGACGTGAGGGTTGAAAAGTTTTTGTTAATCATGTTAATGCTCCATTTGTTGTTTAAAGTAACTGCCAGGGAGTGTGATTGGTTACTTCTTTTGATGCCGTGAATGTATTAGATAGCAATGTAATGTGAAAAGAATATAATGGTCGCAAATCTGTCCAATAGTATCAATCATGTCGTGTGTTGTTCACGGATCTAGCTTAATTTTAGCTCTCTGTATTATTTATGATAATTCATTTTTATAACAGTTTACGTGTAGCAACAATTTAATGGTTTCTTTGGCTGCTGCAGGGGTTACAAACGTTTTTTCAAAAGAACTTCTCTCGAGACATCAGAATACCTTAAAGATGATTGCCTATCAGTTAACTGTATGGTTGGTGTTGTGAAGTCACATACACAGGGACCAAAAATTTACTCTATACCAATTCCACCATCCAGCATGGGCCATCAGTTTGGCAAGCTACTGGAAACCGGAAAGGGAACTGATATTAGTTTTGAAGTTGACGAGGAGATTTTCTCTGCTCACAAGTTGGTACTAGCAGCTCGATCACCTGTATTCTGGGCCCAACTATTTGGTCCTATGAAAGATCAGAACACTCGTTGCATAAAAGTTGAGGACATAGAGGCTCCAGTTTTCAAGGTTTGTTGCATTTCTTCTTTTCTTTGGTTACTGAAGCTGATAAATGTTTGCACTTAGCGTTATAAGTTGGTTACCATATTTATTTGGTATCCATGAGTATGATCTCATGTGCTGCAATATCGCTAGCAGATTGCATGATTGATGTCAGTAATCTGTATTGCATTGCAGTAATGATTTGGTTTTTTTGGTATTAAGTGGTATAAGTGGCCTAGCAAGAAGTAGTAAGATTCAGTTTTTCATGGGGTTTATTATGCTTTACATGTAGTGCTTATCCTCCTTCATTAGAAATGTAAGATAGGTTGACGATGTGGTTTTCTTCTCTAATTTTGTCTTTCTTGTGATGTCATGTGAAATTAGAGAATTGGTGAATCATAACCATCCTCTTGGGACCATTTTCATGTATATTTTATTTGCGCTCTCCCATTAAGTTTTCTTTACCCACCCAGTGTCTGAAAGACTAATACGACATATACAACTAGTTTCAAGCATATCCTTAGCCACTCATTAATTTTGTCCTTCTGCAGGCGTTGCTTCATTTTATATACTGGGACTCACTGCCTGACATAGAAGAGCTTACTGGAATTAACTCCAATGGGGTTTCCACTTTGATGGCCCAGCATCTGCTTGCAGCAGCAGATCGATATGGCTTAGACAGGCTCAGGTTGATATGTGAGGCAAATCTCTGCCAGGATGTCGCTATAAACAATGTGGCAACGACAATAGCTTTGGCAGAACAACATCACTGCTCCCAGCTGAAACCTGTGTGTCTCAGATTCATTGCAACTCCCGGAAATCTATTAGGTAACCCATTCCTCTATGAAGCTTTGTTTTACAATACTATGAAAACAAAATTTTTGTACGTAATTTGCAAAGGAAAACTGTAATCATCACGAATTCCAGATGCGATTGTCCATGATGATTATGGATGATAAATTTGGTTATATGGAAGACAATTTCGTATTACTTCTGATGTCATTTTGGTCCTTGTGTAGTCTTTGTTTAATCAATGGGTTCTGAATCGAAATGCTATGTAACTCACTAAACGATACGTAATTCTTTTTGTTGCAGGTGTGATGCAAACAGATGGTTACAAACACTTAAAGGAGAGCTGCCCATCCGTTCTGACTGAACTCCTGGAATACGTAGCTAGTGTTAATGAGCATTCTGCATCCTTAGGCAGGCACGGAAATGATCTCGATGGCAGTGACATCCATGGCAGGCGGGTGAAGCAAAGGCTATAGTCAAGTGAACTTTCTAAACGTTTTCGCCGTAGACAATGGACAAGAAGAAAGAACGAATTGAAAAGAAACAAAAAAATTGTGAGGAGAGATGATTTCTAGGTTTAGAAATAACTGCTAGTGTTTTTAGCCTTGCGTAATACAAAAAGCTGTTGATGTCCACGTAGGCCTGTAATGTGAAAGTTGTAGTACTTACTGTACTGATTGATAAAATGAAAAATTCAATTCTTTGCTTTGTAAGTCTCCCTTTCTCTCTCTAAGTTGTAGAAAAAATTCATTTCTCTCTCATTTGAACTTCCATGCAACAAGATGCCACAATACTGTGGCAACATTTCTGGCCAAACACATACTGCCACGTGAGAAACTAAAAGTACAAGTCATTGCGGCATGTCCTGAGTTTGATCAGGCTGAAATGACTCTGTGTGTCGTCTCGACTTCAGAAAGGTAAATTGATGTGGCAAAACCATCAAGTGGTACATTTTTGAACGAAAAAAAACAAATACACAGAATTCCAAGAGTCTTAACATGGATGTAAAATCACACAATTTCATTGATAAAATTTATGATGCAACAAAGAAGAATGAATGCTGGCCAATTTTTGTTCAAGTAAAAATCTAAAACACAGCAGATATTAACAAGAAGAATGTCAATATTAATCTCCCAATTGTAAAAGTGGAAGCTGAAGAAAGATTATGAGCACCAATTGTATCTACTCCTCCTGTCTTCTCATTCCCCACTTTGATGCTTGATGAGCAGTTGTAATCGGCCCAACCAATCGTCCGATTCTCCAGATCATAAATCACCAGCTTGTTCGACAGCACCAAATCTCCCAGAAGCGTAATGGAGTCTCCGCCTTTCGATTTCATCCCGCTGCTCTGCCAGCCGGAACACCACACATCTTCCTTCAGCTGGAACAGATAGTCATGGGGATAAACCGTCAGGGAAGCCGAATTCTTGAAGTGGAACATCACCAATGGAAATCCCTCGTCTATATTGCTGGAAAATTGGAAGCATGAGAACTGATCGTCAACTGTGTGCAAGTTCAAGTCAGGCTGCTTGGCTAAAACCTTCTTCATCACCGGGTCGAAAACCTCTTGGGGTAGATAGGCCAGGGTTGTTCCGCTGTCGATGATCGTCCCTTGGTTTGACCCCGTGCCGAAAACATCCGAGGCAAGCGGCAGGACATCGCCTCCTACCTCAATTGCCTCCAATACAACATTGTAATGGGCCTGATTTGGCACCAACGGAGTTGTGTTGTTCACTTGGGGCTCCACAACTTCGCCAATGGCGAAAATCCCACCTCCGCGGACATTGTCCAAACAATGTGCAAATTGTTTCTTCACCTTCCCGGAAGCAGCCAGCTGGGAAAACACGGACGAATTTGACTGCCCGAATCCGAGAATCCCATCAAGCGCCTCGGCAGTCTTTCCCAGCTGCCCGGACTGCTTATCTCCGCAACCAAACACAACACTGCCATTAGTCCCCTTATCAAATTGAATAGTGTCCTGCACAAAGTATCCGGCCGTCTCACTTCCGTCGCCATATGTCACGTCGTATGGGCAGAGCAAGTCCGGCTGGCATCCCTGCAGCCGACCGTTGTATTTCGACGTGCAAAATTCCTGATCACAAGTAACAGCACTATAAGTCGATGAGCTTTTCGGATCATACAATGTGAGCTTCACGCCAATGTCACTTTTCTTGGGACAGTTTGTGCAGCCTACGCAATTGACCCACAGGATATCACTCCCCGTATCCACCTGGACATAATAGTCCTTCGACGGCGACCCAATCCCGAGCTTGGCGAAGTATAGTCCGGTTTCAGACGGATGGCCATTGCCGCCGAGCTGCAGATCCACCGCAGAAGCAGAGCCGGTGAGAATCCGGCCGTGGCGGCGGGAATCGTGGGCTTTGAGCTCGCTCAACGACCGCCCGTCACGGCCCTTGAACTTGTGGCTAACGGAGAACACCAAGTTTGCCGACGCATCGGAAAACAACGTGGAGAGAATCAGAAAACAACCCAGAACGGCGGCTCTTGAATTTTTGTGAAGATCCATCTGAAATTAAAGAAAGCAGAAATCTTTGGGATCGGAATCGAAATTGAAAACAACCCAAAGACTCAATTTTTGGATTTTGGATTGGCGGTCCCGATATTTGAAGCTTCTAAGATCTGGATTATTAGGACCCACGAGGGAAAGGAGCTGGTTCTTTTGGGAGAAAACCCGGATTCGAAAACGATTCCTGGATTGGATTCTGGGGATTTAGAGAGGTGGGTTTTGTGGGGAATTCATTGGCGAGTTGGGTGGAGAAAGAACAAGGAGGTCGGCGAGGTAGGAGGGAAAGGCATGTGTAGAGAGAGAGAGGAGAGGAATGGAAGAAGAAAGACGAAGTAAAACCGCAAAGCAAGACGGCAAGGAGACGTCAGAAGACTTGGACCGAGAGAGTTGCGCGTTTTCTTGAAGGTTGGCTTGACACTAATTATTAATTAAACACTAATTAGGAACGAGTTCATCTCGACTTTGAACTCAAATTTTAATTACTTAATCGACAAGTTAAAATTGACAATAAGCCAATAAAAAATAGAGATAACTACCAAGTCAAGATCATAATATATACAGAGTAGTTGTTCTATACACCAGTTCGTCTTTAACCATTCTTAGTACAAGTATGTTTGGAAAAAAATAAAATTGTAAACTACAAGTCTTATACAATAACACTACACTTTGAGAGCTCGATTGGATGAAAAAAAAATCTTATATATTTAGTTGTCATGCTTTAATTGATCTTTAGCTGCCCGTTATCGAGTTAGTTGAGTTTTTCTATAAGCTATTGAGTTAAAAGTTTTTTTTTTTTTTTTTAAATGTTATCGACTAATTACTGGACTATTGATATTAAAATATCTAAATTAAAAACTTACACTCTTTTCTCAAATGATTAGAAAAATAAAATAAAATAACAATTTGTTTCGCTGTATTTTATAATATGACGTGAAACATTTTAATTGCCAATTTGATATTTCTTGGCCAGTGCATGGGAGTTTAATACAAACTCTCTCTCTTATTCTTGTTGGTCATTAACTACTTTCTTCGGATATTTTTTTGGCCGGCAACGCTGTTTGATTTGGACCGGCTCCTAAAATTTGAAAGTTTTAGGCGAGACTTCAAAGTTGGACCTTGTAATAAGAATAATGTTTGGCTATTCACAGATCAGCAAGAACTCAAACTCAAAACTTTTTGTGTTCGAATCACAGAGTTTTGTGCTTATGATTAAAATCGTTCATATTATAAATCACACTATAAAGATCATCTCTGTAAAAAATGAATTAAAACTAAGGTCGTTTTGTTAATCTATTTTAGAAAATACATAGACGGTTTGTAAGACTTTTACCAATTCTGTTAATTTGTACAGTTCGATTAAATGACCTTAGTTTTAATTGATTTTTTACAAAAGGGATCTTTATAGAGTGATTTATAATATAAATAGTTCTGATTATAAAAACGGAGTTCTATAAATTTGACAACGAATAATTTTGAGTAGGAACTCCTACTATTTCTTTAAGTAGACAAGTATTGTTCATGTAATTAAATTTTGGTGTTTATTTGGGAATGCGGACAAAAGGCCAAAAGGTTTAGTTGTTTAGGGTTTAGTGGTTGATATATTGGGGAGTGCAACATAAAACATAAAACAAGTTTCTTTTTCAAGTCAGTAAGAATATGTTTGAGTCGCTTAACGTTTCACTTTTCACGTAGAAAATATGGTAGTTGTTTTTTCCCTTACAAATGTTCGGCTCTGCCGTTCAGCTCAATAGTCTATTATATTTAAACAAAAACTCAAAGTCTATGAACTTCTTATTCGACTAAAGAATTGGAAGCCCCCTTGGAATAGGACCCTAAAAGAGCCACTATTCCGGCTACCCTCAGGACTGATCTTATACTTGATGTCAAAAGGAGTTGATAAAGTTGACCAAAAATCCATATGAATTCACAAAAGAGAATATTTGCATCTAAAAAGCAAGGAGATGATGAATCCAATGGAAGATGTGAATCTAATAAGCATGTTTATTATGTAGAGGTCTTGTCTATGCATTCAACTAGTCAAACTTCCAAAGCTTGTAACAATATATGGGTTTCTAATTGTGTAATTGTTTTGAGGATTGATATATTATCAAAACTTAGACGTGACTACTTGAACATGCGAGGTACGGAAAAACTTTAACCGACCCATAGTATAGTCAAGGCGATCTTTATCATCTCCTTTCCATTTATCAGATTGTTGGAAAAGTGATTTAGATGGATGTTTTGGTAGAGGATACGACTGAAAATTATTGTCAGTGCCAATTTTATAGATACAAAAATCAAATTAAAGAATTTTCTTTTTAAATTATTCAAAAGAATTCTAACAGTTTTTTTATATTATTGTGTTATTGTGAAAAATCACTAAAAAAATGCCTGACGGCTCACGTGGTAATAAAAACTCGCCGTCTTTAGTCCTAACAAAATGTACCCTCAAAACAATTAAACACCTTTGAAAAGAGTGAGAGTTTAGGACTTAATTGCGTAAAAAAAGTTTACCAGAAAATTGGTGTAGAACGGGTTATTTATAGGAGCTAGGGCCGGCAGTGAGGGATTTCATGTTATGTTCAACATTTAACTGGCCAAAGTATGTCATCCATTAAATGAAGTAGGAAATTTTCCAAAGATATTAAGTAATAATATCTTGAAATTATCTCGTAGAATCTTTGATTGGATTTGATCCTGATTCCTTGATAAGGAAAGCTTAAAAATATGAATTAGATATTAATTCTATCTTTAATTCCCCTGTCTTATCTCCCTGCCATGGGCAGAGAAGCTTGCAGCTCAAGTCATATGGGTCTCGACAACTTAGTGAAGGGCATTATTGTTAGCCTGACAGGTCCAAAATTTTCTAAATTATTTTTAGCTCTACAAATGCCTCCACTGAATATATATGATGCGCGGATGTGTATGAGGTGTAGAAAATACTCAATTCGCACTCAGTCAAGTGTGTATTTTCCCCTTTGTTGTTATAAATAGGAGTACTCTCGGACAGCTTCAGTTTATCTACACAGTACCATGAAAAATGAATCTTATGTACAAACTTCTCAATGATCACTATACTTCCGTAATATTTGCTTCAAAGTGTTATTTCGTCAACAAATTATTAAGGGTTTATCCATACACCCATTTTACCCCTCACACATTCTCTTAATTTTTTATCATCGAATTAAATGAATTGAAGAAGATCAAAGAATTATATTAACAAATGGTGTGTAGGAGGTAAAAATGAGTGTGTGAATAGCACCGACCATTATTAATTTGAACATACAAATATTTTATTCCCTTAGAATCATGTCTAAACATGCGATCATGATTCTAAATTAGCATATTCATAACATATCTGTGACTACATATGTCCAAAAATAAAACCAAGCACGAGAAGTAGCAAGTTAGCAACAATAACACTGCAACCACCTTACATTATCGTGCAAGCACTACTAGTGTTATCGTCGCTGAAATAATGGATCATGGAGTTACCAACCGGGGGATCCTTTGGCCGATGATAATAAGGATACATATGTGGCGGGGGCGGCGGCGGACGTGGCATTGGAAACATATTCGAGCGATAATCATAACCGTACTCTTGTGGTTGCATTGGCGGCGGCGGACGTGGCATCAGAACCATATTCGAGCGATAATCATAACCGTACCCATGTGGTTGCATTGGCGGCGGCAATTGCAATACCGGTGGTGGACCTGGCGGTGGCCTCCCATGCATCATCCCTGGTGCCCAATGGTTTTGAAGGCCATATGGCCTCGGAGGTCCAAATTCTGGTCTTGGCTTGGGAAAATAGTCCTTGGCGTGGGGTGAAAGAATTGGACCATTCATTTTGTGCTTACTACTTTTATGTGCCCTATGATCATCGTGGCATTCATCAGTATCATCATCATCTGAATCTGAATGTGATTTTGATTTCGAATCGTGGTGATCAATCTTTTTGGCGTCGTTGGCTTCGTGTTTGTGATGATTTTGAGTTTTCTTCAATTCTTGTGCTTGCTTTTTCTTTTTGGCACCGCGAGGGTCCTTCTTGTAAGACACAAGCTCCGTCATTATCTTAAGCTTGGAAATCGTCACTAAGATTGTGGCCGGATCCACCGCACCAGAAACTGCTACCATCCCTTTTTCATAATCTATGGTGATGGAATTTACTCCTACATACAAAACCAACGCACCCAAAAATTGGCTGTTAAAATTCAGAAACAAACTAATACCATAAGAACAAACAGAACCAATTACAAAGTTATAATCAAATCGTTTTGTAGTTTAATTTTTGTTAAGAATTTTTAACCGGTTTTATCTGTGCGGATATTCCTAATTTGATGATCAACTGCAAGAGGGAAGTAAAAAACAGATTTTTTACCGTTAAGTTTCTGCAATTTCTTCTTGATTTTGTGAGCACATCCTTTGCAACATGTAATAGCCGTCTTTGTTTTTATGAATTTGGGAGGCCACAGCTTAGTGAAGTGGGGTCGCCATAGCTTGGAACCCCCTAAACAACATGTGCTCACCTTCAAAATACAAGTCTGCAAGAACAATATGCTAGATTTAACATTCCAGATTAATCAATATGATCAATGTAAAATGACTAATTAGTAATCATATAATCGTAAAATTAAAGAGGAGGTAGCTCTATATATACATACAGGACCATCGTCATGGTGGTTTTCCATTGCAAAGGCAGAGTCTTTTAAGAGAGTTTGAAACCCTAGCTAGCTAATAGTAAAAAGTAGGGCTGATTAGTCGGCAAAAACTTGATAGTTGGTAAGGACTGATCAAGAAAATGGATTTTGGTGAACAGTATAAGATGATATTTATATAATAACTTGATTACAAATTAAGCAAGTATTGATCATGATCTCCACTAATTACAACTTTTTTTAAATTAGCATATTTTTTGCTATTTTTTTTTCATCATGTAAATATCGTATGCCACACAGATGTGTGTATATGTGAAATGCGAGAGAAATTTTCATGAAACAACCACAAAATATGACATGCATGTGATTTGTCTTTTCACAACCACAAAATATGACATGTGATTTGTATTCTAGCGTTTTAAGAAGCATTTCTCTTAAAATGGGTGCTTAAGAATCAATTGCAAACAAGGAAATTAGAATAATCCAATTGCAAATGCCAAATTGTTTTTCTTTTTATTTTTTTAATTATTATTATTAAGGGAAGGGAAGAAGATTCGAAATTATTACAATAATTTAGGAAGAAGGTTTCGCACCCAACACCTTATCCACTAGGATATTGGACCACATGCAAATGTCAAATTGTTTTAATTATTTCATAATGTGTGTAAGGAAATATAATTTGGATCTTATATTTAAGAAATCAATTACTAGGACGAAATCTTTTGAGATTTTACCTAGTTTAGCTGAAATTTATATCTTCGATTAATCGAATTGATAGGGATCAGATGCATGTATAGCAGCGACATTATACTTGAAATTCTTGTGTTATATGCCCATAGTTTATACGTTTCTACATATTGATCAGTATTCTACTGATCTTCCAGAGCATTATACACCTAACATCTTGCACCCTTGTGCAGATTAGCATGATAAAATAAGGAAATTAAAGGTCACAGCAAATAAATGGTAGCTAGAAATGCACTTTTCTTTTTATTGCAGATGTATATATAGCTCAGTTGGTCAGTTGGTAGAGCATTGCGCTTTTAACCTAATGGTTTGATTAATCTACAAGTTCACAACAAACTGTTATCTTCCCTTTAGAACAGTCGTTTTCACGATACGTACCCGAAGTTTCAAAACATTAGTAATAAAACCGAGCAGATACGAATACCATGCAACGAATACACAATTATAAAAAGTTCGTTAATGAACTTGTACCGCTAAAATTCTTCAAATTTCAAGGAGTGGCAAAGATACATACGGGACCAACATCAGGAGAATGGTTCTCCATTGATGAATTGTACTCGGCAGCATCGTCATATGGTGGTAGTATTGATCATGGACAAGTGCAAGAGAAGTAGTTCTGTTGGGAGGACCATTATCGTTCCCTTGCTGCAAGATTGCGTTTGACATGCCTAGTTCACAAACCCTAGCTAGCTTATAGCTTAGAACCTTTTGCTCATCAATAATTAGTTAGTCGTATAAATTACAGTTAACTAAGGTTCTTCGAAGAAAGTAAATTTGAATTGTCATTTTAAGATTTTATATATACGTGCATGGAATACTTTGTAAATCAAGTAAATATGTCGATCGATATTTGACAATCTTGTGACCTTTTGGGTATGTTAATTAACATTAAATTTAAATTTGAAACTCTTTCACTCTTTTTTCTAGATACAATGTAATTCGGGATAGAGATTTAGGTTTAGCAAACAATGAGCCAATCATAATTTACTATCAACCAAGCTAGTCATACATGAGAATCGAACTCAAACCCTAATACTAGGGGCATAACTCTTTCCTTAGACAATCTTATGATTTAACCCTGCACATGCATGACACACGTAGTGGTGACAAAATAACTTATTGGGTTGTTGATTGGTACTCATTAGATAGTTTGATTTTACGTTACACTATCATCACTACTATCAATTTCATCTCTATATTATGGTAATATCAATTAAATGAGTCCTAATGCATACCCATAAACAATCCAATTGATTATTGCCACTTCTAGCCACATGTAGGATTCATTATAATTAACCATCAAATCCTTTTCGAGATTTTGCCTATGTTTGTAATTAATTGAATCGTTAAATGGATAGGGACAAAATATATTAATACTTTCAAGGAAAAGTATTTATTTTAGGAAAGAAAACTCGGCTTAATTCTAAAATCTTGAATTCCCACCACTTAAAATTTAGGAACTCTATGCATAATCAAATCAGGATTTTGAGCTTCCTTCCCTCTTAAGCCCCAATTTCAATTAATCCAAGTGCAAAAAAAGGTAACCCTAATTACCGCCATATCTTATTATTTTTGAATAAATATTTTCCTTTGAACTGCTCTTGAGAATGCAGTTAATTGCGTTACATCCAAAACATATAAATTCTACCACACATAACTTTATATTCCCTATAAATTAAACGACATATCCTTTAAGTAGTACGTAGCTATCCAAAACATATCTTCATCCTGAATTATCATCATTTTACTTACAGAGATTTGAAGCCACTCCAATATGGAACAACATGGAGCAACCTTTCCGGTATGTATTTCTTCTCTCTTTCTCTTAATAATAATACATGACCGCTGCTCGCACAGGTGCTTCCCTCTAGGCGAACACTTCCCTAGCTACGGAATCCTTGCTAAAAGGCTGCTTGTATACATATCTATACTCTTTATAATCATTTTGCTCTTAATCATCTCATGTTTCTATCTATTAATTTTCCTGCAGATTTGTACTATAAAAATGAAATATCTCCGATGTTGCGCTAAGTGTCCACTAAAAGTGAAAGAAAAGTTGCAGAAACTAGACGGTAAATATTCTATATTTTAACGTTCTGTGTGTGTATATCTATATATATATATATATATATATATATATATATATGTATGTATGTATATTTCTTCGAAGTGAATTGCACATAACCCTTTTTTTTTCATTTGAAAGTCTCGTTTGTTTTTATCTTCGAATTGAATAAATAAAAAAGAAATCAATCAACAGAATTAAACAAGGGTTTGCATTTTTCAGAACGAGGAAAAATGTGTACAGCAATCATTTTCCATTTCTTTATCCTCGTTTATTTATCAGTTTATAATTTTGTTTTTTTTTTTCCACATATTATTTATCTTTAGGAGTGGAAGATATAAACGTAGATCCAGAACAAGGGTTGCTAAGAGTTCAAGGTAAAATAGACCCTATGGTTCTCACAAGGGCAGTCCAAACTATGGACAAAAAGGCAGAACTTTGGTCCTTTCAGAAAGAACCCTTCCCAGGTAATATTGGTAAATCTTCCAAGTACAACTTCCAAATTGGCAATGAGTGTTCATGCGATGGCGATTGTGACGATCATGAAAGCAGCTCTGATGATGAAAGCCCTAGTAGCAGTAAAGTTATACCCAAGAAGCAATATGGTATTCTCAGGTGGATCAAAAAGGAAAAGACGAAGAAGAATGGTAATAATAAGGCAACTTCTAGCACGGCCATGCCTATGCCTGTGCCTCGGCCGAGACCTGGACTTCGCCCGCCTATGGCTCCACCCATGGGCATTCCAGCCAATAGGAACTTTTATGGCCCTCCAAGGCCCAGTTATCGGCCACTAAACCCATACTATCAACCTGTGGCGTACCATAGGCCATCACCGCCACCATATAGTTACTACGGACAAATGCAGCAGCCGCCACCATATAGTTACTACGGACAAATGCAGCGGCCGCCTTATTCATATTTCCGGTCAAGGTCCCCGCCGAAAGTTAACCCTATCGTCCACTACACCAGTTATGCGGACAACTATCGTTATCCATGAGCCCTCGCGTTGTGTATGTTAATTGAACATGCCTAGCCCCAAAATTTTCAATGTTGCTATGTTAAATTATGTATACATGCATGAACTTCTGAGATTATCTTGTCTATCTTTGTTAGACGATATATCTTGTTAATTTCTCTTAGATTGGGATTCCAGTTATTGTTATTTCAATAGTCTTGATTCATTCTCTTTCAAGAGTAAATTACGTACTCACAATACAATAATATATAATATAATTTTTGTACAAATTTTTTTCAATGATACGTAACATTGAGCAGTACATGAAATAAATCGCTGAGTTTTATAAAATAATAGCACTGAAGCATTAAATCCACACCCATCTTTGTGATAAGAAAATCACTTTGAAAATGTAACTTTGTCATTAGAAAATGAGAAAAAAATAACTCAACTATGACCTACGACTGAAAAGTAGTAGGAATCGTGTGAAGAAAACTTAGAAAAGTGACTTTTGCACATTGTTTTTCTTTAGATATACATTTATGTTTCCATGTAAATGTAATGAATAATAGAAGAATCAAATAACAAAACATGGTACCATCGGGGTACTAGTGTATTTTCACATAACAAAGGAGAGGAAACTTGCAGGGTAATTTCCTTCCTCGTTTGTACTCCTCGTCCCTTGCGGATCACCTACAATTTCTGCGCAATT